ACCTAATGTCAGCAAACAATATTCCCATAACTGAACAACAGGTTGACATGAGCTCCAGCTATTGTTCACATATTATGTAAGCAGAGCTTTAAAATCACTTGTATATATACCTTAATTTAATCAGTTTAGACAAAATTTGAAAGGGAAAATAATTTTCAGCAATAATTTCTATTGTTGGAAGCTAATAGGCTAATATCTTGAGTTTAAAAGATAAAGAAATGCTTATGGCATATGATAAGCTGACTATAAGGATGAAAATAACTTATTTCAAACCATCCTCACAAGAAAATCAAAAAAGATGACAAACCAATGCTGACCTATAGACATGCAAGAGGAAACATGGTTCAAATAAGAAAGAATGTTGATTAGACATGAAGGTGAGCCAAGTAACCAATATTTGCATTATGATGAATATAGGCTAAGTTGCTAAAAATTAAATATGCCCGATACCGAGTGTCAGGTTCTAAAAATGACACATTCCCTACGAGTGTGATAAAGATGGAAAGTGATTAATATGATTGAATTGGAATAAACTTTAAAATGTTTTCCAAAACAAAGAAGAATTGACTGTTTGTGTTTTGCATTGTGGAAGTTATAAGCCAAGTGAGGGCTGGTCTAGAGTGTAAGCAACTGTCTGCAGAGTTAGTTTTGGGTGGCCGAACTGCTCATTATAATTTATAATCTTTTGTGTGTTTTTCTAGGAAAAATTAAAATAATTTAATTTATGCTTAGTGTGTAATGAATATAAATGCTTACATTTAAGTTGAACTCAAATGTGCCATCCCAATCTAATGTATCAAGAGAGAAATGGAAAGTGTGTGGACTGATTGAAGCTAATTGGGAAATTCAATCCAATAAATTCAAAAGCCTTCAAATTATGTTTTGAATTGTGATAAAAGAGGTTTTATATACTTAATATATTTAAGTTCTTCGAAAAACTTGCACTAATTCTCTTGCTGAGGTAAAGATTAGACACACGATACTTATTCTGTACAGCATATATCTGCTTGACTCCGTTTCAAGGAGTGATACAAACTTGTACAAGTTAGTATGATTTAGTTCTTGTCTAGTTGGGATGACTATTGATGTAGGTGATCTAAGGATTGTGGGATACCATAATAACAACCTGGTTTAATTGAAGTTTTGTAGTTCATTATTTTTTTTTTTTTATCCTGTATTTCTTGTATGTGGACACATTCTGTGGCTCCTTTCAGACCCAGCAGCTAGTCAGTTATACTGAAAAATTCCTGAAACCATCTAATAAGTGACAATTTACATTCATTATTGTGTGAATACAGATTTTTATGTCATTTTTGAATTCATATACTTGTACTTCCTTTGCTGGGTTCATTATTATTCTCTGCTCAACATTTCTGAGCAGATGTTTGAGAAGCGAGTCTGCATGGATCCTAATGACAGGTGAAGGAGGGAAGACAGAGGAGTATTGAATATGTGTTTTATGCAATAAAGCACAGGAAGAATCAAAAGACAAAAGGGAAGGAAAAAGAACATACCTGCAAAATCAGTGACATCATATCAAGGAAGAGCTTAAAAGGGTGAGGATTTTCCTCCACAGATAAAGCTGTGACTAGAGCAATCCCTGTTAGGGAAGATAGCCAGTCAAAATTGTCATCATCCTGATCATGTTGAAATTGGGGAGAATGAACATTAGCAGAATGAATGGAAAGAAGATGCCAATGTGTATGAAAGAACCCACAACATATTGAACAATGACTGTCACATCTTCCACAGAAGACAAGTTCCCAGTAGCCACAGGTCTCGAGCTAGGAATATTATCGCTATCACAGGATGAAGCAAAAGTTATTGTCACTAATCAGGACAAAAATTAATTTTTATTAATAATAAAAGAAATCGGTTAACGTGAACAAAAGTTAAGTTTTGTAAAGTATCGCCAATCTCACGCAATTGGTTAACACATTTAGAAACATTATTACATCCATTCTAGATTATGCCAAGGAAAAGAATGAAGTTACTTCAAGTGCAAGTGTTTAGGGGGAGTCACTGTGCAAGGAGGTTGTGTCATTCTCTTGTTGGTGGAAGGCTATCATTGAATGATGATGCCATTGTACATTTAAGCAGTTCACAATAAACATGATTTTTGGGTGGGAGTTAGCTCAAGGCAAGTGGCATGCAAATTTCATAGGAAGATGTGCAAGGGATCAAGTGTATGGAGTTGAGGTAGTCTCAGAATCATAATTTTTAATGAACTAATGCAGCCCCAAAACAACACCAACATTACAGAAAAAATTTCATATACTAACGAGCACAGGTACTTTTCTAAAGTCACACACTCACAAAAAAGGTTCTCTGAAACAAAAATCTAAGCAGACTCAGCAGAAAAGCTAGAAGTAAGAACAAAAAAGTTACAGTGAGAGTTTTACTTCAGATCTTTATCTGTTTTTCTCCTTAGATTTGAGAAGAAAATGTTCCAAAAGTTAAACATCACATGCATCTACTTTTTGTGAGATTACTTATAGAAAACATTTACTTTTGTAATTAATTTTGTCTGTTTGTTAAAGTAACAATACTTAGTGTTTAAGTGCCATCCAAAGCCATCTTCAAAATCACCAACTTCACTAGTTTAAGTTCAGAACACAACAGCAACATTGAAAGTGATTAGAAAAAAAAGTAACGAAAACAAAGATATGTGGCATATACAGATGTGTAATTTATATCATGTGCACATGATACTATGGTGTTATTTTGTAATGACATGTGGAAGGTGAATTGCTTGTACTATGAGTGGACATATAAATATTAATGGCCTAGAGTATATAATGCAAGTAATTCAATAGCATGAATAGCAATAAAACACAAATGTGACAAGAAAAGTTATAAAAATTATATTAATAAAAATTGATTTTTAAAACTATAAGAATGAAAATCTTAATAGTAATACAACAACTAATTAATAACTTTTATCCTATTAGTAGTTTCTAGTCTAGGTAACTAACATCCTGTCAATAAATATGACAGTAGCAAACTTAGAAAGAGTTACAACTCTACCAGAATATGAATTTATAAAATAAATTTTGTGTCAATGAATCAGAAAATAATGTACGGATGGCACTTCTTGACATCATGAATAGATAAATGACTAAAACATAGTGAATTAAAAGAAACGATAGTTGACAACCACATTAAGTATATGCAGATTGTAAAATTAAGTAATACCATTTTATATACAGGAACAAAACCTTGGTATAATCCTGCTGGGAAAACTTTGATACCATCTAAAATTTTAATGAAAAAAAAGCTAGGTATGAAAAAAATTGGCATTTAACAAAATTTGATTTAATGAAATGTTACAGAGTTGTAAGATTTATAAAATATATATATATATATATGCATGCATGAAGAATATGCATCACAAATGTGATCAGAAGTTAGAGAAATACGTTGAAATAAAACAATGAATATCATGCATAACAAACTGTTAGTTTAAATTTGATGACGAGGAACCCACTTTGAGACTAATAATGGTTGGAGACGGCTTGAATGGGTAATGAAGAAAACTTTAATATAAGTTTAATATAACAGCAAATGTACAACTTTTCGACAAGGTTTTGTCATCATTGTACATTTGCTGTTATGTTAAATGTCTCCAACCATTATTAAAGTGTTAGTTTGCCTTATGTCCTTCTATTAATGAATACATATCACTGTTAGAAAGATCAGTTAGAAAAAAAGGCTGAGAAAAATACATTTATTCCTTTCTATAGTGAACATTATTACAACCTAATGGTTAAGCTAAACAGAAATTGTTCACTGATGGTTAAGTCTCTTTGAGCCTGGATATGTAGAGTAAATATCCTCGATGGTATGTGATGAGCCACGGAATTACATGATGATCTACCATGCAGTGGACAAGAGATCATCACTGGTATAATGTAAACTATGAACTTAATACAAAATGTATAATATGCACAAGGTGAGCACATGATGGATAATTAAAGAAACCATATTAATAATGCATTAATAAAAGATTTTTAACAAGTTCTTCACTATTTCTTTTTACTATGTAAATTCTTCTGACCAATTAGCTAGAATTGTACAGTGATATTTAATTCCTATTTATATAACAAATCCTTTCTCCATTATACCAACAAATATCCATAATCTAAAAACTAAGCGAATTGTGTCAGGTATGTAATATTTCACAGACAAAAATAAATGCTGATTGGAGTAATTGAAACAAGTACAAATTAGAAGGGCACTCAATAGAGCACATTCCTCTACCATGCAGCATTGACCATATTCAGCTCTCAAAAAATATGAAAATCTGTCCATATGTCCATCATTATCAAAGGACATAAACCATTTTTGCAAGGACAATCAGGAATAATATTCAACATATGTCCACCAAGTTTCATCAAAATCCAATCATTTTTGAATGAGTTATAGACCAAAAACAGTGTGAAAAATCAGTTCCCATGTTAACAGGCAGGGATTTTTTTGGTTTGTGATCTTGACCTTTGACCTTGACCCTACAAAAACTAAACACTTCTAATTTGGGTCATATTGCAAATGTATACCAACTTTTATCCAAACCCATTATGCCATTTGAGAAATATTGCTGACACACGGGTTAAAGCATAGCCTCTGTCCACCTTTGGAGCCAGAGGTAACTAGTGAGTATAAAAGATGAACACTAAGTTCCAAACATGTAGTAAAACAAATAATTAATGACATAAATGCAGAATAAAATGTCACAAGGAAATGAAAAAGCACCCACAGATATAACAAACTTGTATCTTGTTAAAAGCAATAGCTGAAATTATTAATTGGCAAGTCAAAAACAAATTACACACAGAAGTCAGAAGTAAAAGTTAACTGTTAAGTTGAACATTACACATCTTAATGAGTAGATACCATAACTGAAATAACTTGAGCGAAATGGAAGAAAGTTGTCTGTATAAGGTGGAAAGGATTCTATTTGAATCACCAAGTATAAAATAAGTATTTTAAACAAAACTCTATGTAGGAATTCAACTCTATATTTTACAACATTTAGAAATATTTATAACTGTACACCAGATAAAAAGTTTAAGACACGTAATTTGATAATAGTTACACATCTCATTACAGCAATTAATTTCACGTGAATTGCTTTCAGTCTCTCATAGTGTAATGGCTCAAAACCATTGTTCTTTAATAGGGAAGAATGAAGCAGTAGATTTCTGTATATAGAAACTACTTGCATTACTGTTTAAAAAGTGAAGAAAACTAGAAGTGAGGCATACACACTTTTCCTGCAAACAGTTCTGAGATTACTGTAATCCACAGTGCTAGTACAAAAAAAATGTATGAAAGGCCCACATGATGATGGCTAGGAAGTTGATACGGTTCTCCTCCAATTTCCTCCATGGTGAAACCAAGTGGGAATATGACTGCTGCCAGGCAGAACAATACCACTGAAATAGAGAGTCAAATTTAACTGATGCTTCATGGGTTTTACAAATTCAAAAATGTATGTATCATGTAGCATGGTCAGTTTACTACAAATTTTATTCACTTTAATTTTCAGTTACGGTTGTCAGTATTCCATAACTCACTAACCTGTATTTTAATAAGAAAACTTATTTATAAGCTAGCATACAACCCATCAAAAAATGACGGGGCAAGTATTACCACCCCACCCTATAGTATTCCCTAACCTCACATTTCATAGGTAAATGAAATAAATAAATTTTGTGAAATCAAACTTGATCAACAAAGAGGCAGAGAATGCAGTTGAGGCAGTCAAATGCTGGTAAATTCCTTTGTGAGCCAATCAAAATTAAAA